TCCGGTCTGGCCCTGCTGACCGGAGCTGGACTGCACACTGGTGGAGCGGATTGCTCTAGCTCCGGCGTGAAGCCGCTGACCCGTGCCGAACCAGGCACCAGTGGAACAGGCACGGGCTGTGCCGGACTGACGACGCACACCACTGGCTTGGTGTGGGGAGCAGGGACGGCCCGAGCCGGGCTGACGAAACGCACCCCTGACTTGGTGCGGGGAGCAGGAGCGGGCCAAACCGGGCTGACGAAACGCACCACTGACTTGGTGCGGGGAGCAGGAACGGGCCGAGCCGGGCTGACGAAGCGCACCACTGACTTGGTGCGGGGAGCAGGAACGGGCCGAGCCGGGCTGACGAAGCGCACCACTGACTTGGTGCGGGGAGCAGGAACGGGCCGAGCCGGGCTGACGAAACGCACCACTGACTTGGTGCGGGGAGCAGGAACGGGCCGAGCCGGGCTGACGAAGCGCACCACTGACTTGTTGCGGGGAGCAGGGACGGGCCGAGCCGGGCTGACGAAGCGCACCACTGACTTGGTGCGGGGAGCAGGAACGGGCCGAGCCGGGCTGACGAAGCGCACCACTGACTTGGTGCGGGGAGCAGGAACAGGCCGGACCGTACTGGGGACACACACCACTGGTCCTAGGCAGGGATCTGGAATGGGCCGGACCGGACTGGTAACACACCCCAGTACCTCTCGCCGTGCCTCTACACCTTCCACCCCCTCTTCGACCAGTGGCCCCCGTAACCTGGCGGCCTCCTCTGCCAACCCACTGGGCCGCTCTGCCGCGGTCTCCTGCTGGCCCGTCGTCCACGGCGTTAGCCCCCCCCTAAAAATTTTCTGGGCGTCTCTCCCCGTGGACCAGGCCTCCATGTCTCTCGCCAGACTCTCACCCCACTGCTCCAAAGTCCAACCTCTCTCCTCTTTGCTTGGCTTGGCCCAGTCGAGACTCTTACTCCACTGCTCCCAAGTCCATCCTCTCTCTTCTTCACGCTGCTTGGTCCTGTTATGGTGGTTTCTTCTGTCACGATCGTCTAGAAGAGAGGAGGACCAAGGCGCAGCGTTGAAGGCGAACATATTTATTTAATTAGAATGATCACACGATCAAAACAACAAAACAATGACGTGACAGTCAATGGTCATACACAAACCAAATACGAACAAGAAACCACAAACAATGAATGCCTAACGGCTACCTAAGTATGACTCCCAATCAGAGACAACGAGCTACAGCCCTCTCTGATTGGGAGCCACCCTGGCCAACATAGATATACAAAACTAGACCCACAACCTACAACACAAAACATAGAAACTAACACCCTGGCTCAACATACGAGAGTCCCCCGAGCCAGGGCGTGACACAAAAGAAGAATTATTGTAAAATTGACTGTGTCCATAAAATGTATATAGTATGTATAAGCTGGAAGTAGAGGCATAAACGGCGTTTTTCACTAGTTTACTCCAATTAGGGAAGGGATGGTGGGGTTGGAAAATAATAAAGGGAAATATTTTTTTTTAATGTATATATATGTATGTATATGTATTTATATGTATGTGTATATGTATGTGTATGTATGTATATATATATATATATATATATATATATATGCGAGAAAAAAAACATATGGGGGATAAAAAGTGATGCAGACAATTACATTGATGGAAGTTACAATCTATCTGCAATATTAAAGCTGATCAAACCCCCCCCCCCCCAAAAGAAAAACACTTGAGCGTGCTGTCTCTGATCAACTTTCTCATTATCGCTCTCAGAACGATCTTCTTGACCCTAACCAGTCACGTTTCAAGACGGGTCACTCAACCGAGACTGCTCTTCTCTGTGTCACGGAGGCTCACCAAAGCTGACTCTCTCTCCTCTGTTCTCATCCTCCTAGATCTATCCGCTGCCTTTGACACCGTGAACCATCAGATCCTCCTCTCCACCCTCTCAAGGCTGGGCAGCTCAGGCTATTCACACTCTTGGATTGCATCCTACCTGGCAGGCCGCTCCTACCAGGGGACATGGAGAGGATCTGTGTCTGCACCACTTACTCTCACTACTGGTGTCCCCCAAGGCTCTGTTCTAGGCCCTCTCCTCTTCTCTCTATACACCAAGTCACTCGGCTCCGTCATATCCTCACATGGTCTCTCTTATCATTGCTATGTGGACGACACTCAACTACTTTTCTGCTTCTCCCCTTCTGACACCCAAGCGGCGACACGCATCTCTACGTGCCTGGCAGATATCTCAACTTGGATGTCGGTCCACCACCTCAAGCTCAACCTTGACAAGACGGAACTGCTCTTCCTCCCGGAGAAGGCCTGTCCACTCAAAGACATCTCCATCACGGTTGACAACTCCACAGTGTTAACCTCCCAGAGTGCAAAGAACCTTGGCATGACCCTGGACAACACCCTGTCGTTCTCTGAAAACATAAAAGCAGTGAACCGCTGCTGCAGGTTCATGCTCTACAACATCCGTAGATTTCGACCCTGCCTTACACAGGAAGTGGCGCAGGTCCTAATCCAGGCACTTGTCCTCTCCCGTCTGGACTACTGCAACTCGCTGTTGGCTGGGCTCCCCGCTTGTGGCATCAAACCCCTGCAACTTATCCAGAACGCAGCAGCCCGCCTGGTTTTCAACCTTCCCAAGTTTTCTCATGTCACCCCGCTCCTCCACACACTCTACTGGCTTCCAGTTGGAGCTCGCATCCACTACAACACCATGGTGCTTACCTATGGAACAGCAAGAGGAACTGCCCCTCCCTACATTCAGGCTATGCTCAAACCCTACACCCCAACCCGAGCACTCCGTTCTGCCACCTCAGGTCTCTTGGCCCTCCCACCCCAGCTCCCACTCAGCCCAGTCCAAGCTCTTCCCTGCCCATCTTCCAAAAACATCTGAAATCCTACCTCTTCAAACAGTATCTTAAATAATCCTCCTCCTCACCTCACACCTCCCCCCCAAAAAAAAATACAATTATACACTTAACCAGCACTTGCACTTGACCCCCTCCCACCCCCCTTTCTAGCTCTGACTCTACTGACAGCTACGTTATTGAGGAAAAGTGTATTTCTATGCCTGTGATATGTGGTTGCTCCACCTGATTCTCCTCTTTAAATATATACAGTTGAAGTCGGAAGTTTACATACACTAAGTTGACTGTGCCTTTAAACAGCTTGGGAAATTCCAGAAAATGATGTCATGGCTTTAGAAGCTTCTGATAGGCTAATTGACATCATTTGAGTCAATTGGAGGTGTACCTGTGGATGTATTTCAAGGCCTACCTTCAAACTCAATGCCTCTTTGCTTGACATCATGGGAACATCAAAAGACCTCAGAAAAAAATGGTAGACCTCCACAAGTCTGGTTCATCCTTGGGAGCAATTTCCAAATGCCTGAAGGTACCACATTCATCTGTACAAACAATAGTATGCAAGTATAAACACCATGGGACCACGCAGCCGTCATACCGCTCAGGAAGGAGACGCATTCTGTCTCCTAGAGATTAACGTACTTTGGTGTGAAAAGTGCAAATCAATCCCAGAACAACAGCAAAGGACCTTGTGAAGATGCTGGAGGAAACAGGTACAAAAGTATCTATATCCACAGTAAAACTAGTCCTATATCGACATAACCTGAAAGGCCGCTCAGTAAGGAAGAAGCCACTGCTCCAAAACCGCCATAAAAAAGCCATACTTCGGTTTGCCACTGCACATGGGGACAAAGATCGTACTTTTTTGAGAAATGTTCTCTGGTCTGATAAAACAAAAATAGAACTGTTTGGCCATAATGACCATCGTTATGTTTGGAGGAAAAAGGGGGTCGCTTGCAAGCCGGAGAACACCATCCCAACCGTGAAGCATGGGGGTGGCAGCATCATGCTGTGGGGGTGTTTTGCTGCAGGAGGGACTGGTGCACTTTACAAAATAGATGGCATCATGAGGAAGGAAAATTATCTGGATATATTGAAGCAACATCTCAAGACATCAGTCAGAAAGTTAAAGCTTGGTCGCAAGTGGGTCTTCCAAATGGACAATGACCCCAAGCATATCTCCAAAGTTGTGGCAAAATGGCTTAAGGACAACAAAGTTAAGGTATTGGAGTGGCCATCACAAAGCCCTGACCTCAATCCTATAGAAAATGTGTTGGCAGAACTGAAAAAGCGCGTGCAAGCAAGGAGGCCTACAAACCTGACTCAGTTACACCAGCTCTGTCAGGAGGAATGGGCCAAAATTCACCCAACTTATTATGGGAAGCTTGTGGAAAGCTACCCAAAACTTATTGTGGGAACCTTGTGGAAGGCTACCCAAAACGTTTGACCCACATTAAACAATTTAAAGGCAATGCAACCAAATACTAATTGAGAGTATGTAAACTTCTGACCCACTGGGAATGTGATGAAATAAATAAAAGCTGAAATAAATAATTCTCTCTACTATTATTCTGACATTTCACATTCTTAAAATAAAGTGGTGATCCTAACTGACCTAAGACAGGGAATTTTTACTAGGATTAAATGTCAGGAATTGTGAAAAACTGAGTTTAAATGTATTTGGCTAAGGTGTATGTAAACTTCCGACTTCAACTGTACAAATCCTCTGTTCCATATTTGATCCATTCTCTTTGGAAATTTAAGTATCAGTACAAATATTGAGTTACTAATCTCCATTTGCACCCCTCCTGTTTGAGACTTGAGTGAAACTAGCAGTGCCTGATAAGTGGAAGTTCTTATTCCCTACTAAAGTAATTCACGAAAGTCTAGTATCAGTCCTCGCTGCCCCCTAGTGGGCGATGTATGGATAAAGTTGGCAGTCCATCTTTGTTTTTCAAAGGGAATTACAGAAGGTAATGCATTTCACAATAAAACACAATTGTAATTTTTCTTATGTATTCTTATGTGTTTAGGACAAGGAGCAAAGAGGCTGTATGATACGAACGAGAATCAACAATTGAACTGCATTTATCGTAATACCACTATCCTCCTTTTCAACAAAATCTCTGCAACACTAACCGTCTTTCACGGTCTTGGAGAGGGCACCATCTGTGGAGAGAAAGACATTCAGGTTAATACAATACAACATGAAGTCATCCACAATGTCAAGGTAAATTACATTTCAATGCAATGTCACAAAATCTATAGCATTGCCTAATAATGCATCTATAATGCTGTATTACTCACAAATGGCTATTCTTAGTCTCAATCATTATGCGATGATAATAAGGCATACATACTTATAACAAGTTACAATGCATTATAACCACATCATAATGTCTTATACCTGCAGGCTTGGAGTAAAGTGTTCCTGAATTCAATCTCAATTTGTGATTTTTCTGAATCAACATGAGTCAACTTGTTCGAAATGGACCAACCCTGGTTATCAGGTCATAGACTGACTGTTACTTTGTATTGAGATGACTGACCTCTTTTTATCCTCTGCTGGACCACCAGGGTATTACTGGGTGTGGATTGTGGAGGTGTCAGGTTGCATGAAGAGCTGGACTTTAGGGGGGGTGATGGAGGTAGGGGGATGGTGGAGGAGAACTGGATGCCTGGGGTGATGGATCTCCCCCTGAAAGGAGATGACTTGGGAGTAGACCTGCCAAGCCTGGTCCCACTGCAATAGCAGACAGACAGACTTATTCATCCTGCGCATTACAGCTCATTAAACTGAAGATTTAGGTTCCCCCCACATACACCACATACAACACAAATCAATCAATTAATCAATAAATCAATCACTCACTTTATTGTCCCAGTTGGGATTTATTTTTTACGTCAACTGAAAAGCTATAGGAACAGTTTAAAGCTTGACAACTATGAATGATAGTTTAATTATTGAACTGGCATTGTCCATGCAGGACTTATTTCTGACTTGTAGGGGTCCTTCTCCAACCTTTGACCCTAAACGGACTAGCCGTGTTGTTTCCTCTCTTTGATGAAGCACTGGGGACATCTGGGAGAGTGGAGGCCTGCATGGAAGTCTCTCGAAAGCCATTACGCCAGACAACGTTGTTTTTTTTTATGTTGACAGGGAGCTGTCCCGCATGGTGGCACTCTTATTGGCTGGTAGGTGCCTCCTGATGACAGCGCTGCCCCTGAGTCGCTGGTTCCTCTGCAATGCGCCCAATGAGGTGAGTGTTTGTTGCACGGTCAGCAGCTTCAGCTTGATGTCCATGTTGGTGGTAGGGGTGTACACTGTGTTCATTGGATAATACAAGGACAGCTCCTCACAATTCTAAGAATAATGGAAAAAAAGATAACGGTTATGTAGGGAATAGGGTGCAATTTGGGCCGCAACCAAGGTCTCCAGATTCAATGTCATGGTTCCACAGAGCATTCAATGTTTTCAATCATTCTAGTGTGATAAAATAAAGTAAACTGTGGAGGAAAAACTTAGATGTAGGCTAACTCACTTGAAATGACCTCAGCATAGCATAGCATGTAAAACAGAGCATTCCATCATCTTCAACACTGTTGGGAAATCAGAGTTTTTTCCCCCCTCACACTAAAAAATGAGGGTTCCTCAAGGGTTCTTTGGGAAGGGTGATGGTTCTATGTGGAACCATACTGCCCAAAGAACACTTTGAGCCCTTCAATGGTTCTTTGCGGTTAAAAAAAAGTGTTCTTTCCTCTTTTAGTGATAATTAAAACGTAGGGGGGGTGGCTCATTCAAATATTTTGGGGTTTGTGCACAGCTCTTTTTGTGCAACCATTGAGTGAAAGTGTCATTCCAGTTTATCTGTTGTGTTATGCTATTTTGTGTAACTATGGCGAGTGATAGTGTCTTGTGAATGACTCATGTATGGCCTTGTATCAATTGAAAATGGTTGACTAAGTAGTAGTTCTCAATTCTCTCCTCAGGGATCCCCTAATGTTCCAGAGCTAGTGTAAATGATTCAACTTGATAATAAACACAATAGTACAACCTATGGAAATGTAACAATATAATATGGCTATTAAATCAGAATAAAGAACCTTGTATGGTATTGAACAATTCTCCATAAAGGTTCTATATAGCCCCAAAAAGTGTTGTAACCATAGCGGAACCCTTGTTTGGAGCTATATAGAACCTTTTTTTAATGGTTCTTTATAGAACCTTAGGAAAGGGTTCTTTATAGCACCATACAGGTTCCATTTAGAACCTTATGAGCATGGTTCTTTATAGAAACTTCAAAAAAAGGTTCCATATAGCACCAAAAAGGGTTCCGCTATGGTTACAAGCCAAATGGTGAAAAATAAGAGTTATTTGGCTTGTAACCATAGCGGAACCCTTTTTGGTGCTATATGGAACCTTTTTTTGAAGTAAATGGCATTTACTGTAGAACCATTTGTTTTGAGTGTGCATGGACACTGGGGGGGAAATTCTGTATAAAAAAATAATCTGTATAATCTGTATAAACCAAAGCTAGACATGGAATAGAATAGAATATAATATAATTAATCTAGGTACATTTTGTGTGAAATTGAAGTATTTTGCCTATCATATTTATTCCAGGGTTTCTAGAGCATGCCTCTCTAAAAGTTCAAATCATCAGACTGATAGTACACTTTTTACTTAAAATGTTGTTTTTTTTGTGCTCTTTTTTTTCATATATAAGTGCATATTGTTGCTCCAAGTCTCCAGTACAGCTGTTTTTACCTCTGCCAGTCTGCCTGTGTCACACCAGCCTTCGCTTTGGCTCCCCCTTCTGTCCAGCTCAGGCGTTCGCGTCGCCGGCCTTTAAAGCTGCTGCGGAACCTACAGTGGTGGTCAAAAGTTTTGAGAATGACACAAGTATTGGTCTTCACAAAGTTTGCTGCTTCAGTGGTTTTAGATATTTTTGTCAGATGTTACTGTGGTATACTTCAGTATAATTACAAGCATTCCATAAGTGTCAAAAGTTTTTATTGACAATTACATTAAGTTTATGCAAAGAGTCAATATTTGCAGTGTTGACCCTTCTTTTTCAAGACCTCTGCAATCCGTCCTGGCATGCTGTCAATTAACTTCTGGGCCACATCCTGACTGATGGCAGCCCATTCTTGCATAATCAATGCTTGGAGTTTGTCAGAATTTGTGGGTTTTTGTTTGTCTAACCGCCTCTTGAGGATTGACCACAAATCGTCCTTATGTTAGGCCAGCGTTTCCCAAACTCAGTCCTGGGGACATCAAATAATGAACTCATCATAAAGCTTTGATTATTTGAATCAGCTGAGCTGTGCTAGGGCAAAAAACCAAAACGTGCACCCCTTGGGGTCCCCAGGACCGAGTTTGGGAAACGCTGTGTTAGGCCCTGATCTGGCTATGCCATATGGCTGTGGGCTACACTAGTTCATTTAGCAGGCATGATTTGCTTAGAATTCCCATGGCATTTTTGATTTTCAAGGGAGTGCGCATATGTGGCTATTCTGTGTTGAGCAGTTAACAAAGAAACAGGTCCTCCTATATGCTTAATTTAGGGTTATTCATGCAACTTTAGTTGTGATACAAATGTTAGGCTATATTTTTATTTCTAATACATTATAAGACTGCATGATGCGACGAGTGATGATTTGAAAAAAAGTCGCATGAAAGGGAAGCGCTGTGCTCTGTTTCTTGTGCAGGCTGCACACACTTCATCAGTCTCTCATTCACAATTTGACAAGCACTTGATAATATTCTCAAGCAGTATTCTCAATTTAATCTGGTCTTTACATATAGTCTACTAATATATGTGTGGAATTATTTTTTATTTAGAATGGACCACAAAACAAAAATGTCACTCATAGCCTGCACTCGAATAGCGAATGGAGATTACGTGTATGTCAGGTAGGCTACACCATAAAGTGGATGAATGTGCTTCATTTTTAAGAATTTTAAATAGTAGCCAGTCAAAACTCTGTTTTCACACGCGATTGCGCAATGACAGGGATTTTAAGAACACATGTTTCACTAGGCTCTGTAGGCTATGGGCTCTCCAACCATGTTCCAGGGGTCTTGGGCCTATAGGCTACGTTTGGAGTTATTTGGTAACTTTAGCTGTGATACAAACCTTAGCAAAACATATAGGCCTATGGGCTAGGCTACATGATGCATGCGACTATGATTTGAAAAAGTAGCAAAAAAATGCATGCGCTGTGCATCATTCACAAGTGATACTATTCTCACCACTCAGACTATTCCCAATTTAATCTTGTCTTTACATATACTAAATAATTAGTTTTGATTTAGAATGGGCCATTATCATGAAACTGTCAGAATAGCGGCAGGGTAAAAAAGACATGCACTTGGACGCTTTTCCCACGGTTCATTTTCATGCCAGCCAGGTAGGCTACTCCGGTTGTAATACGAAGCAATGCGCTTAATATATGGAATGTTGAGAAATAAATATAGTAGGCCTAGCTTATACAAAGCTGATGCGATCCTCCTCTTTTTAATAGAGGCCATCAAAACTCTGTTTTCTCAAGCAATTGCATAGCATAGCCTATAGAAATGTAGCACAACAGGAACACTTATTTCATTCCATGCATCAACCAGCTATGAGGAGCTGGCTCTCGCTGCACAACAGGTGATACTATTCCACTCAAACTCTGAATGCCAGGGCTCCCATGAAGTGTTTTATTTGATTTTCGATTGCATTTGCATTGATGTCAGAGTGATTAGAGGGACAATAGAGCGCTGAGTACCGGCCATTAGCGACAGGCCGTTATCAAGTTTGCGTCAGAGCACAGTTTTGGAGAAGCCTAGTTACCGTGACTCAACAGTCACGTGGAATTTGACTGAGGCCATGACTCCGCAGTAAAATGGTCACTGTAACAGCCCTAGTCCCACCAAGTTGACTACATGAAAATTGTGGAATGCCTCAATGGTGCTGCCTTTTGGGCCACTAGAGGCCTCTATCATTCTCTATGGCAGGGCTCTCCTACCAGAAGTGGGCGGATGGAGCAAGCAGAGCGAGGCAGGTGGAAAGGATGGACAGGCAGATCAGCGTCAAAGCGGACAACCCACCTGCCTGGCTTCGGTTGGGTCATTATAATTAAAAACAATGCATTCTAAAATAAATCACACACATGCTGTTTTGCACACGGGGTCGGACTTAGTGATTTGGAGGTCCCAGGCAAAGGTCAGTCTTTTTTTGGGGGGGGATTTATAGTAAAGACGTCATTTAACTGTACAAATGAATTCCCTTTTAATGTGCCATGAACACAATGATGATGTTTTCATCTGATTGTCAAACAAATCACTTCAAAAAGTAGGTTACCTTTGCACGTTCATCCAAAATAATTCCAGCATCTGAACAGTGCACTTTCCTTCAATTCGCAAGTGGCTGAAACTATCTCACTGGAGAAAGCATTCGAGCGAGCGAAACAGTGCCCCTCTGGCTTACCATATGTAGCCCAGGTATTTGATGCTGTCAGGCCAAAAAGAGTATGACATGCCATACTTTTTTAGGCCAGAGCATCCGTTACATGGGCTATACCTACACTATATATACAAAAGTATGTGGACACCCCTTAAAATTAGTGGATTTGGCTATTTCAGCCACACCTGTCGCTGAGAGGTGTATAAAATCCAGCACACATCCCTGCAATCTCCATATACAAACACTGGCAATAGAATGGCCATACTGAAGAGCTCAGTAACTTTCAATATGGCACCGTCATAGGATGCCAGCTTTCCAACAAGTCAGTTTGTTAAATGACTGCCCTGCTAGAGCTGCCCCAGTCAACTGTAAGTGCTGTTATTGTGAAGTGGAAAGTCTACGCCCAACAACGGCTCAGCCGTGAAGTGGTAGGCCACACAAGCTCACAGAACGGGTCCGGCGAGTGTTGAAGCGCATATGTGACAGGTTAAAGGACATATTCATAGCCTGTTATACACTAAAAAGTATTAGTAAGTTCATGGTATGTAAGGATCTTAAAATATCTAAGGTTAAAAAGATAATGCATCCAGTACTAGTTCATAGAGATTGATAAAATGCATAAATGTGTTAAAATCCGTCAAGTGTAAAAGGGTAAATTATTGTAAGAGGAAGGTGTAAACGTTATATTGACAACTTTATTTTGTGGTGCCTGATTTAAGGGTAAAAGTGTTAATCTGTGATCTACTAAATGCTCTTAATCTATGAGCCTGAGATCGATTGCTCTGGTCTCCACCCAACTTTCTGGGGAAATCGTGGTCTTTTTCTCATTACACTAAATTTGTCAGTGAGGAAACATAACTGCGTCACGTTCGTGATTATTTCT